TCTTGGGGGAGAGCTTCATCATTCGATCGAGCACGACCTGCGGCACAAATCCGCGCGCCACGACGTCGATCTCCTGGTCATCGGTGATGTAGGGGTAGCGCAGCTGACGCTCCAGCACGTGGCAGACGGCTTGCTCTCCGCTATCGCCGCCGCTGTGCTGTTGTGGCTTGTCCCCAGCAGCGAGAGCGATGTCGGCACGGTTGATGACCAGAGACAGACGCTTGAGCGAGACCAGTTGCCCTTCGCGCACCGGCAGGAGCGGCCACTCGCCGAAGGCGGCGAGGAATCGGTCGGCGAACCCGTCGTGCCTTCCGGCCTTGCGCTCGCTCTCCTCCTCGCTTCGCACGAACTCCCAGAAGTGCTCGATCCACTCCTTGACGCTGGCTCCGCCCGTAGTGCGCCATGGGAGGCCCTTCAGACCGCGCCACGCGAGCGGTAGCATGCGGCCCTCGTTAAGCAACTGACCCAGCAGTGCCAGGGTCAACGGACGGATGCCGACAGCTTCCTGAAACGGAGGGTACCGGAACTCGCCTGATGCATGTGCGAACATATAGGAATGAGGTTTGCGTCCTAACTTGGCGAGAATGGCTTTGAAAGTGCATTGCACGACAATGATGGCCACGTACCGATCTGTCGCACGAGCTCAGAGTGGATGAAGAGGTTGGCACAATTGCGGAGTAGGACATGGGCCAGAGCGCGCGTCTTCTTCGACTCACACAGCACCGAGCCGCTACCGCCATTGGCGAACGTGGTGCACTCGTTCGACGCCAGACATAGGAAGGGGAGATGAGCGACGTATTCGGCCGTGTAGTCGTTTTGGCCTTCGACTGTTGCGCCGACAGTACCAGAAGAAAGGTGATAAAGTAAGTAACAGAACTGGCACTGCAGGCTTCATACGAGTGTGCGATAAAGGTACCTTTGCGCTCGTTGAAGGGTCCAATGTCCGACAGGGCGTACTTGAGAATGGCGATGGACTCTGACACGCCCACGAAGGAGGCCTCGAGAGAGGGGAAGCGACCAATCGGATAGCGAGGCGGAGGAAATGGCACCCCCTTCTGCCTCAGTGCTTCCACTGGAAAAAAAGGGCACATATCAGCCACAGAACCTCACACTCAAGATTAGGAATGGTACGATATGTGGCGTGAGAATAGCGACGATACCCTTCTGCCGATAGAGCTGCCGCACAAAGGCGGGGGTGAGTCGGCGGACTGAAGACAGACCGGCCTCGACGAACTCATCGTAGATGGACATAGGTACGCTCACCTTGGTACGGGCCACACACGACACACACGACACACACGACACACACGATACATACGACACACACGACACACACAACACACACACACACACACACACAGAGAGAGAGAGAGAGCGAGCAATCGTTAGCCATGAAATTGGCCGTACAAGCGGGTATCGATATGTACCAGGGAGCAACGATCAAGCAGAAGGCAACCGACAACCAGGGCGAGGGGCGACTGGGCCAGGTATTTGAGCGACCGGCGGGCGCTCTTGCTGCCTGGACCGCCCTCACCCGAGGCCAGCTTGACCCACCGCTCAACGATTTCCTGCAATTCGAGAGCGGACATCTATTAGAATTGGGCCCATACTGCGATCCGTTGCAGCAGAGCCTGTGATCATTACCTCGGTGTCCTGCTCGATGTCGAAAAAGAGGGCCTCCTTTGCGTCGACCCATTGCACTTTAACTTGTCCTTGTCCCTGCATTGTCGGCAAAGAGGCACAGGCGAAGACTTTCTTGTCGAGCAGACGCTTCAGTACCGGCGCCACAACGAGCGACCACAGGGAGCCGTCGGCACCTAGCGATATCCCCCCTCCCCGATGTAAGCGTTAGAAGGTAAGGCTGGTTCCAGCCACGGGGGTACTGACCTCCACCAGAGACAATGTCTTTCTTCTTCGGCCACAGCTGATAATAGTGATCAGGCTTGAGCGGCAGCAGCCCCTTTTGGCAATCGTCCGCAAGTCGCAGTAGGAGCCGAGCGTATGCCCAGGCAACCGCATCGGTAAGGAGTGCTGTGTGCGGCACCACATGTGTGAGCGTAACCACGATGGTCGCAAAAGAACCCGAGTAGTATGTACCTTGATTATACTTGACCAGGAGCTGCTTGTCGAACACGTCGCTGCCGCTGATGATTGACCGGCGGTCGCGAGACAAGGCAAAGCCAGCGTTTACGTGAACAGGCTGCAACACATCAAGCGTTACATTAGGGGCGTCGATCTAACATCGAGCAACGCTAGAACAGGAGAAAAGTCATACCAAACCACTCCAAAGCGGAAGAGGAAGAGTGCAGAACGCCCGGCCCACAAGCGGAAGGGGACATATTCCCTGTGGATCTGCACCAGCGATCCACTCGTCGGTGATGCTCGCGGCCGTGGCTCGGGTTTGACGGCTCACCAACGCAGCGACGGTAGCCAGCGGGAACAGGGCGTGCCTTTACCACACCATGAACATATTGGGCATTAGAAACGAAAACATGTCAGTATAACGTACACGTAGGCATCTGCAGGTGATCAGGCATACCTGGCGTTCTGTTTGGCAAGTAGGTAGGCCTGAGATTGGCCCACAACTCGCGAGAGCATCCAGTGGTCGTTGAATTCAAAAGCTTCCCATTCTTCGGTAGGTGGTGATTGTCGCCCTGATTCGACAGGACCTGCAACAAAAGAGTCGTGAGCCGAACGCATTAAAGGGGAGGGGGAGGGGGAGGGGAAGCAACGCACACGACTCGGATAACGCACCTGTGTCTGCCACTGCCGGGCGTCGCCTTCGCCGTCCCTTCACGATGCAGCGCACGTTGTAGATGTCCTGCGGGAAGTCCTTGGCTGGTGTTTGGTTCAGCATGGTCTCGAAGATATTCTCCTTCGAGGCGGCTAGCTCTTTGATGTTTCCCTTACAGGATTCCAGCTTGGAGGCCAGGTGAAGGAAGAGCGAAGACCGCTTCTGCATCTCTTCCTCCTTCATCGCAGACTTGTCCAGGCCCACGCTGTACACTTCCTCGGGTGCGGTCTGCCCTGCGTTCCACACGTAGAGCGTGACCTCGCGAAGGAATTTGAGGTGGAGAAGGATCTGGCTGCCCATCTCGATAAACTTGTCGAATATTTGGAGAACGTCGTCAGGTGCGAAGGGCAGGCGCGAAGACACCAACTCGGACACCCTTGCTTGCTCTGCCGACCGCAGAGGGAACCTGAAGACACGATCGTGACGAGAACCATTAGCCTGTGCAATCATGGGGAGTGGCCGGGGCACACCTGAAGATGGTGCCATCGAATGGTCGTTGCAGGTCGCATCCAAACAACGCGTACGGCGCGAATTGATCGGCGTATTTGGCTCTGACCTCAGCGATGGTGAAGTTGTAATATTTGCCTGCGGCACCGAGTAGAGTGGAGTGAGCGAGCGCCCAATGGTTGGCAAACAACGAGGCCTCATAAAGGAAATGGTACCGGGAGGACCGTGCTCAATGCCCGGCAGGTGAGTTCGATGAGGATCGAAGAAGACTGCTTTATCGCGTGTGATGAATGATGGTAAATCGGTCTGCAACGTCGCACAACTGGTGAGGATTTATCACGCGCCGCTAGCTGACAGAACGGAAACATAGGAACATGACATGTATACATGTCCAGTACCATGTGGTAAACCGAATTGAAGCCAAGACCAAACCGTCCTGTAAGCAGCCAAGTGCACGTATCATGGTAACTGTCTGTCAGCTTAAAAGCTTCACTGCCATGAGGTAGTGGTACCATACCGGTGGCGATGGGGTCGTTCGACTTGCGTCCTGCTCCTACGTTCTGTATACTCTCGAAGTCCTCGTCGCGAAATACGGCATTGTTGAATGCGCACAACGCTGGACCCTGGATTGAGGTGTACACAATAATCAGGCCAACTATTGACGACGGTCATACAAGAAGCGCGTCAACTGCGTACTTGAAACTGGGCCATGGTGGGGCTCAGCAGCGTATTTGTGGAGTGGGTCCTCTGAGCAGGGTGTGCGTGTGAACACACTGAGATTGCCTTTGCGTCGGCAGGTTTGGGGGGGTGCTGGGTGTATTATAATACCAAGTCGAGGAGAAAGCTCGCTGTAGACGCACGGGCGTCGTCAGCATTCTGCACCAGTTCCGCCAACACCTGAGAACCGTCATACTGACCATCGATCGCTCATTAGCACAAATTTGGATTAATAAATATATTTTTCTAATCTCACAATAAAAAATAAGAAAAAACAGAGGTAAACGCGACGTGTGTGGGGGAGCACAATACATCTTCTAGGATGCCACGTATGGCCGTCGTGATCTTTACTTGTTGCCCTGTGCCACGCAAACGACTACGGGTTAGGTTGGGAAGCTTTTTTGGGTAGATGTGCTTGTGTGTACCTAGTGCGCCCTCGTGTGCTTCCATCGCGGCGAGCTCGTTGCATGCACTTTGGGCAACAAGCAAAACCTTCTCCTCGGCACAAGGCTTCTGCTCACGACGTATTTGAACAATGCTCGCCCGTATGCGCGCAACATACCAGACATTCCTCTGATTCTCCTGGCCGAAGTCTGCCGAACAGGTACGGCGTACTCTGGTCTTTGCCCCCCAGCGCCAGTCTACAACTTCAAATCCGGTTTGCGGCCTTGTTCGGACGCGTCAGCTGGAAGGGGCCTGAGCCCGGGCTCGCTGGGGGGGGCCGCACTCAGGGGTGGCAACCAACAATCGACGGCGAACCTGTGCCCCACGATGCAGGTCGCCACTCCCGCCAGAGTTGGTTACCAGGCGATGCGGGGAGTTGGAGATGTCTCAATCGAGGCCGTGGTTACAGTGACGAGTGATGGCGAGGGCGATCGCGAGTTAAAGGGAGACAGCGACGTCGTGGGGTGGTGGCAACGAGCAAGCTAACACTGCCACCATCATCACTATCATCACCCTCCAGATGTGCTTTCTACTTATATATTTTTTAAGTGTACAAACGTGTTAATTACAGAGTGGATGGAAGAAGGAAAACCAACCTTTACACTGAAGCCTTGCCATCGCCGGCATCGTTGCCGACCATGCGGTCCAGCTGGGCGACGACGTCCTCCATGGCGGGCCTCTTGCCCGCCTCTGCGTGCCAGCACTTCTTCATCAGCTTCTTGAAGGCCTGGCCGCAGTCGTTCGGCACCGCTGGCCGTCGGCCCTCGAGCACGTCGAGCGACACGCCCATGAAGTTGCGCCCAGCGAAAGGCTGCTTGCGCGTGAGCACCTCCCACATGATGATGCCGAACGAGAACACGTCCGCCTTCTCCGAGTACTTCTCCCCCCTGATCACCTCCGGCGCTGCAAACACGACACAAGAAAGGTCAACCTCGAAAGCGTAAAAATGAAGAACGAAAGCGAAACGAAAAAGAACGAAAGCGACGGTGTGTACCGGTCCAGCAGGGGGTGCCGCAGCGGGTCATGGTGGCGTTCTCTTCCTTGATGCGCGCGAACCCGAAGTCGGCCACCTTCACGTTCCAGTTCTCGTCGACGAGCAGATTGGAGGGCTTGAGGTCGCGGTGCACGATCATCGGGTGCAGCGAGTGCAGGTAGTTGATGCCGAGCGCCGCCGAGTGCAGCAGCTTCACCTTCTGATGCCACGTCAGCTTCGTGGCGCTGTCGTTCAGCATCTCGCGCAGGCAGCCGTTCTTGACGAACTCCGTCACAATGCACAGATTGGGCCTCTTCACGCACGCACCTGTGTGTGGTGTGGTGTGGTGTGGTGTGGTGTGGTGTGGTGTGGTGTGGTGTGAGCGACGAGAAACGAACACACAGTCGCCAAGAAAGGGAGTGTACCAATAAAGAGGACGATGTTGGGGTGGTGGAGCTCGGCCAGGAGGGCCATCTCGGCGCGGAACTCGAGCATGCGGCGCTCGTCGAGCTTCTGCTTGATGAATCGCTTCACCGCCACGTCGACGCCCTTCCACTTGCCGCGGAACACCACGCCGTAGGAGCCCAGCCCGACCTGCCGCCCGAGCGCGATCTCGTTGAAGTCGATCACCCAGCGACACAGGTTGGCCGACGTCAGGAACCGGTCCTCCTGGAACATCATGCCTTCGCCCACCACCGCCTGCACCTCCTCATCGCTCGACCGCGCCGAGCCGTCGCCGCCTTCATTCTTGCCCTTGCCCTTGCCCTCGGCGCTGCGGCCGGAGCGCGGTGACGAGCTGGTGTGGTCGGACTCCTTGTTGGGCGGGTCGCGCGAGATGCCGCCGAAGAAGCGTCCCTCGAGCGCACGGGGCTTGAGCTCGTACAGCCGGGCGCCGCGCGGGGCGTCGGGCATCTCGAACTTGCCCAGACACACGACGCGCTTGGGCTCCCGGGCCATGTCGCCGTCCTGCACCTTGGCGTAGGCGGCGCCGGACACCAGGATCTGGCCGCCGTGGGTCATGGCCGTGATGCGGGCCGCGGCGTTGATAACGGGGCCGATGTACTCGACGCGGCGCGTCATCGGGTCGCGCACCATTCGGGGCGAGCCGACGTGCACGCCCATGCGCACGCGGAGGCCCTTGAACAGCACCCGGTCGTCGAGGTCGCCCCACTCCTCGGCAGCGCCGGGGTGGTCGAGCAGCGCGTCGGGCCAAGGCAGCTTGATGAGCTCCTGCTGGGCCTCCATGCACCACTCGAGCGCGTCGGCGGTGTCCTGGAAGGCCATGCAGAACGAGCCCTCGCCGCTGTTGCGGTCGCGGATGAACACCACCTCGTACCCGCGGTGCTTCTTGAGAAGGGAGCGCAGCAGGGCGTTGTGGAGGATGGTGGCGTCGCGCATCGCCTCGGCGTTGAACTCCCAGAGCGAGGCGGCGCGCGTGATGTCGGAGAAAACGATCGCCATCTCGCCGTCCGGCGCGTGCACCGTGCCGGCCATCGCCGCGTCGCGATCCGCTGCTTAAAAGTACTCATTATTAGGACCCAAAGGTGAGCGACCCGTGCATGTGCGGTGGTGCGTGCGGTACCATCGGACTTGGAAGAGCCCGAGCTGCTGGTGTTGGAGTGGCCGGTGGGCGAAGTCCACGACCCGAAGCGGTCACCGCCGACGCCCGACGATGACGACGTCGACGTCTTGGTCATCGATGACGTGCCTCCCTCTCCGCCCAGTCCGCTCAGCCTCGTCATTATCTCCTACACACACGACGAGTGTTGGTAAGTCGCGCTTTCGACGCGCAAGAGAAGAGTCGGTTGGTAGGTACCAGGAAGGTGGGGCGGATGGTGGCGTCAAAGTGCCAGCAGGTGCGAATGAGGTCCAAGAACTCGGCCGTCAGACCGACGGCGTCGTTGGTGTCAGGCAGCGGCGGCCGCGCGTTGTCCCTGATGACCGCCACGGCAACCGCCGCCGGGCTCATGCCCATGTAGGGCTGCTGGCGGGTGGTGAGCTCCCACAGGATGATGCCGAACGAATAGACGTCGGCCATCATGTAGTCGACGTCCATGGCCTCGTTCAGGATCTCGGGCGCGGCCCAGTGCACGCTGCCCTGGATCTCCTTTGCCGCTCCGCCGCGCTTCATCTCCTCCTTGAACTTGGTGAGACCAAAGTCGCTCACCTGTGCGTGCCAGCACACGCAAGTCAGCTCAACCGCACACGCGCAACCCCCACGCACACGCACACGCACACGAACACACAACGGACCTTGACGTTCCACTTGGAGTCGAGGAGCAAATTGAGCGACTTGAGATCGCGATGGACGATGCCGGACGAGTGGAGGAAGTGCATGCCCTTGGCCGCCTGGTAGGCCATCTTGTTGCGCAGCGCGAACGGGATGTCCGGAATCAGCTCGTTGTGCAGCAACTGCGCAAGCAACCACCACCATCGAACCGACGCAAACCAGATTAGTTTGGTGTGAAGTGATGCGATGAGAGAGAGAGAGAGAGAAGGTGCGCACGCACGTCGAAGAGTGAGCCGAGGGCCATGAACTCCATGACGATACACATCTTGGGGGGCTTGGTGCAGGCCGCCATGAACAGCACCACGTTGGGATGCCTCAGCGCCGTCATCACTCGCACCTGCGCAGCCACCATGTCATCGACATTGGAATTTCATGAATGTATGGGTGGGACGAGACGTCGCGTACCTCCTCCTTGAAGCTGCGCTCGAGCTCGCGCGACGGGTGCTCGGAGACCATCATCTTGACGGCGACCTCGGTGCCCTTCCACACGGCCTTGTGCACCTCGCCGTAGCCGCCGGCCCCGAGCTGCTCGCCCATCTCCAGCTCGCTGATCTCCACCTCCCACTCGTCCTCCTTGGCGCGTCGCAGCCGGAGGCACACCAGCAGCGCCGCCACCACGCAGCACATGACCAGCAGCGCCAGCACCACGGCCGGGATGACGGAGCCGAGAATCGGCGCCAGCGATGTGTCGCTCGACGACACGGCGAACTGGCAGAACTCGCCCTCGTAGCCGGTCGAGCAGAGGCAGGCGCCGTCGGCGCACGCGCCGTGGTCGGCGCAGATAGTGCTCTGGTAGATGCAGCCGTAGACGGAGCTCACCGCCACGCCGTCGCACGTCATGCCCGCCACGAAGTCAATCAGCCGCTTGCGCACCGGGGACGATTGCCCTGCCACGCCCTGGAAATTCCTATAGGCCGAGGTTGGTGCGTGCGTGGGCGTGTGTGGCCTGAGAGCGCACTATGCGACGGGGGACGTACTGCTGGGCGAGGGCGAGGGCGGCCGGGTCGGTTTGGGTCCAGTAGATCCAGTCCACGAGGGCCTTGGCCTTGATGCAGTCGGCCATGGTCGACTGGTGCACGACGAAGCTGTGCATGTTGGCCATCGGCCAGCTGTTCTCTCCCGTGCCTAAATATAGAGAAAATAGTAGAATACAGGTATGAATGTTAGTGTACCAATATATATATATATCTACATCCTGCGGTGGTGAGTTGGGTGGGGGGG